GGGACATTTCCTCACTTGAAGTTAAGCACTCTTAACCCTCTGTATTTCCAGTCTGAATCCAAGAAGAAGAACCAGAGCTCTTCCTCCAGTTATACCATCTACGAAGAGGTAAGATTCTGGAGCTCCTACTGAATGGGTTCAGTGCCCATAGAAAAGCCTTGAAATTGAACACTCATGAAAAAGCCATGCATAGAGTCTCAGAGTTGTAGAGATTTTAGGGATCTTTTCTTTTTTTTTTAAGATTTTATTTATTTGAGAGAGAGAGAGAACACAATCAGGGAGAGGGGCAGAAGGAGAAGCAGACTCCCCACTGAGCAGGGAGCCCAACATGGGGCTCGATCCCAGGACCCTGAGATCATGACCTGAGCCCAAGACAGACGCTTAGCCAAGTGAGTCACCCAGGTGTCCCCGAGGGATCTTCTTATCCACATTTCCATTTTAGAGACAAAGAAACTGAGGTCCAAGGAAAGCAAGGATCTAATTCAAGGTCATAGCATGTGTTAGGGTTGGACTCTTATTGGGGAGCTTGAGTTTTAAACTAGGGCTGTTTTCCAGCTAGTTCCCCAGCTGTGGGCTTTGCACTGGACATCTCTCTTTTCCAAGGGTGTGTGGGGTGAGGGTGCAGAGAAGGGAGGATAAATAAATCTAAATGATTTTCTAAAGTTAGCAAGTAATTGGGAACCATTCTGGGGCATAGGTAATCTTAAGCTGCTGCTGGAATGGACACTGTAAAGTGACCATTGAGCCTGGTGGCTGAATTGAGTCCCATCAGACCATTTAGGGAATGGAAAATAGGGACTCAACGGTTATGGAGGGTGTATTATGTATTTGGTAGCCTGCTAGTGGCTTCATGTGAATTATCTCATTTAATCCTCATAGAATGCCATGAAGTAGGTATAATTATACTTCCCATTTATACCCAGAGAAATTAGGGCATGGAGGGCACTCCCACCCACTAGCTTCCACCTGTGGTCCAATAAAGACGCTGCCGGTGGTCACAAGAGAGAAGGTGGATGGGGCCCGCTGGGATCCCTGGTGCTTCAGCTGCAGTCCCACATCAAAGCCAACTGGACAGCCCAGGGTTGTAGAGGACACTGTGTGGGCCAAAGCAATCTAGGGCGGGTCATGTTAAAAAAAAAACACTGGGGGCGCCTGGGTGGCTCAGATGGTTAAGCGTCTGCCTTCAGCTCGGGTCGTGGTCCCGGGGTCCTGGGATCGAGTCCCGCATCGGGCTCCCTGCCCCTTGGGAACCTGCTTCTCCTTCTGCTTCTCTCTCTCTCTCTCCCCCCCTCTCTCTCCCTCTGTCTCTCATGAATAAAAAAAAAAAATTAAAAAAAAACAAAACAAATAAACCTTTAAAAAAAAAACAAAACAAAACACTGGAATTAGAGCCAGAAGAACTGGCTTCAAGCGCCTCCTTTACTTCATACTAGTTGTTGGCCCTGAGTTATTTCACTTCAAGCTTCATTTCCTTAATCTGTAAAATGGGGGTAATAATTCATATGTCTCAATGTTGCTATGAGGATCTCCTAGTGGGAGAGGGTCCAAAGTTCTTCTTTTCTCCCGCAGGTTGGAAAGAGACCACTCAAAGCCCAGAACCCTGCACGACTGAGCCGCAGGGAGCTGGAGAACTTCTGCATATATTCCTAGCTGCTGCAGCTGTTCTCTCTTACATCCTAGCATTGCTTTGGGAATCAGCGCCATGGATGACACCACATGAGTCTACAGAATGGTGCACAGTCTAGAGAGGACATGGGACTTCGTTTATAGTCTATGTCTTGTTTTGAAAATGATTGCTAATAAGAGCAAGACTGTTAAATGATATCTCTCAATTTATAGACTGGACGAGAATGGGTAGACAGGTTGGGTAGTTCATAAAAGACCGCAAAGCAAGTCCAGAGCCACACAGCAAGTTTATCAAGTGCTATGCAAATGCAGGATGCTGTTATTATTAGCATCAAGATCCCTTCCCTGGTTTTCTAATGTGTTACTCATCTTTCCTCTTCTCTAATCTGGAATGCCCACATTTCTAGACCCTCCCCTTGCCCAGGCCCATCTTCCAAAGAGGGAGGAAAGATAATGGCGACTCGGAGGAAGAGAAACAGCGCCCCCTCTGTGAGGAAGGACTGAGTAACTGTAAGCGGCTGGCTGCTCCTCCAAGGGGGCCGGGTCTGGGCTTTCCTCGAATACAGAGGAAAAACTCCCCCACCACATATTAAACCTTTACCTCTGGCCACTAGGTCACGAGGGAGAATGGGCAGGAATGAGAGTAGATGGGGCAAAGCAAGCTGATCTCGGAGTGGAAAAATCACCCTGAGCCCATTGCTGTCCTGATAATTGGACAGTGAGACCAGCTTTGCCTACAGTATGATGTATGATTTACAAAAACACATTATTAGAAATCTACTTGAGCTTCTTCACAAATTCTTCACAATTGGAAACCATATTCTGTTTAAGTTCTGAGTCCTGATGAGCGCTCCCCACGGCATATGCAGGAGGAAGGGCTCAGCCGGCTGCGCAGCTGGGAACTGGACACTCTGCTGGGCTCCCCTCAGTCCTCAGGCCAGACTCTTCCACGAGCCTGTGGGGACCAGAGTTCAGACTCCGGCCAAGCCCAGGAAAGGGGTGAGTGTGAACTGGAAGAGGTCCTACTCAGAGACCCCAACAGTGGCTATTGCATGGAGCCTGTTCTTCAATTGCCCCATTCTGTATTTAACATATGAATTTAATATAAAACTATGCTGTTATTCAGAGGCATTCTAAGTTTCTTTTCCGAGTTAAATTTATGTGTCCCTTCCATATTCTGTACTTTTCCTCTCTATAGCAGCCAAAGGGCATTTGTGTCCATCAATAAACACATGTTTGTTTAATTCCTACTGGAGAGGGGTCTGGGTTCCTTGCAAGCCATCAGGGTCTCCCAGCCTTGTTCACACTGGAGCAGATGATCCCAGAATCCCCAGATCCCAGGCCATTCAGTCTCATGGGGGATAGCCACAGCTTGCACTTGCTCATGCCCTGCCTGATCCCTCTCCCGTGGGGTCTGTTTGACTGGCCGGCTGGTTTCCTCCTGGAGACAAGTGTGGACAGACCACATTTTGGAGCAGATGTTAAGGGTAAAAACCAGGAAAACATATACAAAAGGAGTCTGGGGTCTCCAAGGCACGTACTGGCAGTTCAGTGCCAGAGTCAGAAGTTTGGTGAGCAGAGGGAGCAGGAAACAATGGGAGTTTGGAACAGTTCAGATGAACACCAGAGACACTGACCATCGACCCGGCCTTTCATGCATCCTGAGTTGTGTAGATCTTGAACTGGTCAGTTATGCTTTTGGGGATGCTGTATTCTAGAGTGTAATAATGTACATTATCATATGTCTTCACTGAGCTTCTGTAATAATGCCTTACGAGGATGATTATCCATGCAATGACCACCCAGTGAAGAAGCAGTAGTTAAGCTTCTGCTGTGTATGAAGCACTGGTTGGTCCCCGGGAGTACTCATTACAGGACACAGAAGACATATTGACTCCATAGGACACGTGCAGGAAAGTATGACAGCAGAAACACAACATTAAAGGACAGAAATAAAGGACCTGGGCTTCCAGGTGCACGTGACACAAACGTACACTACAGTATCATGAATAGAAGTCAAAGGTAGTGCAACTTACAGGCAGGGGGATAAGGCTGAGCCACAGCTGCGGGGAGAGGAGAGGTACTATGGTTGTTCTGCATCCGGACCTGACAGCGAGGAGAGAAGTTCTTTGGGGTAAATATGGGAAGCTTATATGGTAGAGGCATTTTAAGCACTTAAAAACATATCAAAAGAATGATACACATATATGGTTAAAAACAGAAATCTGCAGTACAAAAGAGTATGCAGCAAAAACAACAATCCAGTTTACTCCCTGGAGGCAGCCACTGATAAGTATTTCATATTTCCTTTTGGAACTTTTGTATAACTATGTAAGCATATAGGTATACATTTTTTCTTTATCTAACTGGTAGCATGTGATACACACTGTCCTGGGCTTTGTTCTTTCCGTTCTTAGCGCTTATTCCATATTAGCACATACTAGTCTTTTTTCTTTTTCTTTCTTTCTTTCTTTCTTTCTTTCTTTCTTTCTTTCTTTCTTTCTCTCTTTCTTTCTTTCTTTCTTTCTTTCTTTCTTTCTTTCTTTCTTTCTCTCTCTCTCTCTCTTTCTTTCTTTCTTTCTTCTTTCTCCTTTCTTTCTTTCTTTCTTTCTTTCTTTCTTTCTTCTTTCTTTCTCTTTCCTTCCTTCCTCCCTCCCTCCCTCCCTCCCTCCCTCCCATCCTTCCTTCAGATTTAATTTGTTTATTTGACAGAGAGAGAGAGAGAGAGCACAAGCCGGGGGAATGGCAGAGGGAGAGGGAGAAGTAGGCCCCTGGGATCACCACCCAAGCCAAAGGGAGACACTTAACCTCTGAGCCACCCAGTTGCCCCTAGTCTTTCCTTTCTTTACAAAAGTGGCAGGGCTTGCTGTTACATGGGTACGCTATCACACATTTAACCACATTCCTACTAAATGGACATTTAGGTTATTTCTGTCCTTTTATTTGAAAAGATACTACGTGGACACGATTTACATAGATCTTTGCATCCACGTGTGAGAATATCCACTGGATTCATTTTAGCAGCTCTTTAGAAAATGGGGTGAAGGTCCAGGGTCCTTTCAACAGCACTGGACCAGTCTTGGCTGAGCTCTGAGGTGGCGCATCTGAGCTGAGAGGGGAAACTGTATGAGCACACAAGGAGACGGACAGAGCAGGGACACCTTGAAGGCTGGGGACTCCAAGAAAGAGCCTGTGTCTGATCTATTAATGGGCTTGGGAAGTCACAGGGGTGGAAGGTAGCGGGAGGGTGAAACCCACACATCTTTGAGACACTGAAGACAATTCTGAAGTGCTTCTGTCTGTAAGAGCGCAGGCTCTACACCGTGCAGCAGACTCTCCAACTACAGGGAGAGAGGCAGTAGCTGCTTTTCTCTTCAGATGAAATTTTCATAGGTAGGGCTTTCAGGAGACTCGAGATCATTCTGTTGTGGCGGTGGCATCACCTGTGAGCCAAAAGACACACAAGCATATGGTTAATAAAGCCTGGGAGGCCTTGGTTTCCTTGGCCCTGTGATGGTGAGAGAGGGAGGTCAGGCCAGGCTAAGACTGGTCCATCCTGTAGGAGTCAGGTCATATGGACTGGCCTAGGGATGGAACAGTCCATCAAGCTGATGGCAGGCATTTATGCAGAACCTCCTGCTGGGAAGTTGGCTAGGCTCTCTGTGAGGGAGATAGAGGGCAATTTAGTGCAGCAGGTTGAGGGAATACAAAAATGGCAATAAAAGGCCTTGCTCTCAAGAAGCTACTGTCTAATGAGCTCAGTCTCTGCCCTGGCTGGAGAAGCAAGACAAATATCTGTAGGAAGATACTCCAGGTGGTAGAGATTATGCATCAAAGTAATGGTCCAGACTCATAGGCCTTCATGTTCCCAGGGTTCTGAGGACTCCTTCTTCACCGAAGGCCCTGAGGAGCAGGTGAGATGTGAGCTGATGCAGAGAGGAGGGGAGGCAGGGTGTCAGTAACAGCTCAGGAACAGTATAAACCTTTGAGATATCATGCAGAGACACATGTCAGAAAATAATGGCTAACGTACGTTTGAGAATTTCCTGACTAAGTGGGCAATGATAGCCTCAGGGGACCCAGAATCAAGATTCGTGGTCCTAAAAATTCTGAAGGCAAGGGATAAATTCTGTCAAGACCTTGGCCAAAGAAACGCATTCATTTCCACTTAGACTGTGAGTGAGGGTGGTTGCAGGGATCTGGAGTCCCTGGGGTGGTATGAGAGTCATGCAGGACTGACCAGACCAGAGGTGACTCAAGGCCATCCTGAAACTCAGAGTAGGGACTGATGTCCATGACTTTAAGATTGACCAGTATTGGCCCAAACACAAAGGGCTAGGTCAGAGTAGAAAGCAGCTTTGGGAATATAGTGAAAACTACAGATGAGGTCTCAAGGCCACAGGTGAAGTACGTTATTGGCTCAGCATAGGCGACATTTCACAAGACAGGACATGAGGTAGATGACGGTTGATGGCTGCATATCTGCATAAACACTTACTGAGCAAATTCTATCCATCTTTTAAGGTGCAATCCAAATTATTTTTTTCATGAAGCTTTTCCTGTCTACCTCAGTGCAGTGGTATCTCCCACTTCCAATATCTGGAAAACCCTTGGGAACTGCACACCTAACAAGTAGTATGTAGAGCATTTTCATTTCCCTTCTAGGTGATTGAATTGGCTCCACTCCTCTTCCACTGAAAGCCAGGTAAGACAACAGTCTTCAAGGTTAAGGATAGTGCCTTAGACATATTTAAATCCCCACAGCATTCAGTCTAGTTCTAGGCAAACAAAAGATGTTCAATAAATATCTATTGATTGGATTCATCAGTCACAGAGAAGTAGTATAACTGAAAAACTTTGAGAGTTTTTCTTTTTTAAAATCTTGTTTGGGGGTGCCTGGGTGGCTCAGTCGGTTAAGCATCTGACTCTTGATTTCGGCTCTGGTCATGATCTCAGGGTGGTGAGACGGAGCTCTGTGTCTGGCTCGGCGCTCAGCAGGGAGTCTGCTTAAGATTCTCTCTCTCCCTCTGCCCCTCTCTCCCTAAAATAAGTAAATAAATCTTTGAAAATATTTTGTTTGAGCACGTTAAAACAAGGAGGAAAAACAGGGAGGGAATTCTGGGAGAGATTTGAAAACAAAAGTATATATGGACCCAATGTTTTCAGGGAAGTGAAAGCGGAGCTGGCAGCTAGAATCAGGTCAAGTTTAATTGGTTAAGATTATTCAGGATTATTTTAAAACTCTTTGTGGTTCTTATTTTATACATACACACACACACACACATACATATATATTTAAAGATTTTATTTACTTGAGAGAGAGAGAGCATGAGCTGGGTCAGGAGGGGCAGAGGGAGAAGGGAAGGGAGAAGAAGATTCCTCACTGAGCAGGGATCCCGACGGGGGTGGGGGAGCTCAATCCCAGGACTCTGAGATCATGACCTGAGCCAAAGGCAGATGCTTAACCAACTGAGCCACCCAGGCGCCCCGTATTTTTATATTTTTTAAAGATTTTATTTATTTATTTGACAGACAGGGAGAGAGAGAGAGAACACAAGTAGAGGGAGGGACAGAGAGAGAGGGAGAAACAGGCTCCCAGCTGAGCAGGGAGCCTGATGCGGGGCTGGATCCCAGGATCCTAGGATCATGACCTGAGCCAAAGGCAGACGCTTGACCGACTGAGCCACCCAGGCACCCCTCTTTCTGGTTTTTAATCCTGAAAGTCCACCTACTGTCTGTGTTAGGCAAAATTAGCTTCTGCGAATCTCAGCTTCTTTTGCTAGAAAATGTGAATGACAATACATTTGTAGAGGTGTTCTAGGGATCACATGAGAATATGTTTGTCAATGTTTTATGTACTTGATGTGAAAGTTAGTTATTATTATTATGATTTAATGGTAAATTCTACCATTAAGGGATCTTTTAACATTACAATAAAACCAATATGTTGTAGTTAATGGCATATTTCCCAAAAAATCTTGACATTGGACTATTGGCTAATTTCCAATTGATTTGGGAAATTGCCATTGTGGTGGATTAAGATTAGGGTTAGAAGTAGATTTAGAAATATATATATATCATACAGTATTTGTGTTTACAGCTTCTCATTCTGGTCAGTGTTAATAATCAGTATAAAACATTATTAAACCAATTAGAAATGTTCAGCCTTTGGCCAAACAAATGTGAATCAGAAATACTTGTTTAAGCATCTCTGTTGACCATGGAGTGTGTCAGGGGGATGCATAGTGGAGAGAACCTAAGCTCCTTTGCTTGGGGATCTAAGACTTTCAGTTAAAATGGTCTGTGCAATAGTTCTTTGCTTTAGGAGCCTTGGGATACAGAGAAAATTGTTCTCACCTTCTGAGATGTCTGTAGACAGCTGTAGATTGTGGCTGAACTCTCTTTCTGCTCAGGAACTGGGGCCTTTCCCTGTAACAGACCAACATCAGACTATCCATAATCACCAGATGAGAGCTTTCCAGAGTTTCATGTTCAGCCCGTAAGGAGAAGGGACACCCCACCAGGTTTAGGTTTCACAAAGAGGGTGGTGGCTACCTTAAGTGCAGTGGGGACCATGCTTCTGGTTGCTCACACCTCCCTTATCAATGGCCCAAGCTTGGGAGCTGAGGATGAGCTCCTTCATTCCAAGGGACCCCAAGGTTTGGTAAACATGGATAGAGCCACAATTATCTGCCCATGTGCTGCTGGTTCTGGCCCCAGTTTGGAGGGACTAGTCATCCAGGATATTGGATGGTCCTAGAAGTGGAGGAAGAAGGTGTACTGATCCAAAGAGCTCACCTGCAAGTTGAGGAACACTTGCGTATACACCGTGTTGTCCACAGACGCAGGCACCATGCTTTCCGGAGTGACGAGATCATACTCTGCTTGCTCCTCAGATGATGAGTCAGATCCAGTGCTTTCCTGAGTGAGCAAGTCATACTCCTGGTGTCTTCTAGCCTTGGCTATGCCAGTCCTCTCCTGGTCCTTCTTTGTTGTTTCACTGCTGTCAGAACTTCTGTCGGAGGTGGGGCTATGCTCTTGCTTGGCAGTCTTAAGGAAAGTGTCCAGCTTCTGACACCCTTGGGAGAGCATATTGCACAGTGTGTGGCCAGCAGTGAGTTTTGAACACATTGTGCAGGCTTGGTAAAAAGAGTCCCAGCCCCCACCTTTTTCTTGTTTTGTGCAAGGATCCAACCTGCTCTGACTTCTACTCCAGATGAGGCCCAAGGAACTGGAGGAGAGGTTGTTTTCCTGTCTCCCCACAGGGGACTCTATTCCACTCTCCCTTCCTCCTTCCTTTCAAGCATTCACTCATTTCCATTTGGTAAACATTCATGGAGTGTGACATGAGATGGACTTAGCAACACTCAGTGAGCCAAACTGGCTCTGTTGGCTAAGCCATCCTAAGTGCCATGATGTGTACTCCGGGAAAACACAAAGGTCCTTAGACCTGCTCTTGAAGGAGGATGCTGTCTAGCGGGGGGTCAGATCCATACAGAAATCAACAAAGACAAGCCCAGCTCTGGCAAGGGTGACATGAAAAGTGTGAGGAAAATGTGAGGACATGGTCTCTGGTTAGGAAGCAGAGAAGAGCTCATGAAAATGGTGGGATTGAGGTGGGCCTTGATGGAGGGGTGGGATTTTGATGAGTGACAGGCTATTCTTGGTTGAAGAAGCAGCATGATTAAGGAAAGGTGTGAAACCCTTTCTTTTGGGAAAAGATGGTATTCAAAATATTTAACAGATGCAATGGACTGGGTGTAGGACAATCAGAATGGGTGTCTGTATTGAACAATTGGTTGGCACACTAGGTGCATGTCTAGCTGCCTTTGGGGACAAAGGAAGCAGCCCATTCTGTGTGTAGAATAATAATGGCTCACACTTACCAAGTGCCTAGTATGTATCAGACACCAGTCTAAACACTTTTCACTAATAAACTTATTCAATCTGCATGAAACCACATAAAACAAAAACTATATATATGTATTTTTTGCAGATGAGGAAACTGGAGCACATAAGGGTTAAATATTTGCCTGAGTAAGTGGTAGGGTCAGGATCTGAATGCCAGAAACCTAGTCCCTGATGTTCTTTTTTTTTTTTTTTTTTTCCTGTTGTTCTTAACTAATACTCAAAACTGCTCCCTATGGGATTTGCATAGGGAAAAAGTAGGTAAAGGGCAGTCTGGTTAAATACTGAATGAGAATATAACACTAATCACCACCTATTGAGTGCACACTGTTGGCACTGACCCACTCAGTACTCACAGCAACTCTAAGAATTGGGCACACTTATTTTGCAAGGTAAGGAAACTGATGCATAGAGATTGAATTGCCCAAGATCACTAATGAGCAGAATTGAGATTCAAATATAGGACTATTTGACCTCAGAACACATACACTTGGGCCCTAGGTTTTATTGCCTTTTGAGTAACAGACAAAGGCCATGAGGAGCCATTGATGGTTTTAGAGCAGTCAGTGTTGACTTGGCAAAGTGATGAGCAGAAGGGATAGAAGAGAGAAACCCTGGGGAAGGAATGGCCAGTTAGGAAACTAGTATACTGTTTTGGGGAAGAATTAACAAGGAATGGGAATGTCTGTTAATGAGGACTAGTTAAATAAATTAAGGCACATCTGTAGGATGGAATAAATGGGAGTCAGTCTTACATATGTTAATATTACTAGGATATTCTCTTAAGTTAAAAAAGCAAGGTTCAAGAAAATGCTATAGATTGCTCCTATATGTGTAATTAAAAGAAAGGTACCTACACACACACACACAAACACACACACATGCTCAAATATATTTAATACCTATAAATGCATTAAAGACCCCTAAAGGATTTTGAAATGCATCTTAATTATGAAGGCCTTTTGGGGGAACAGACCAGGAGATTGGGATTGGGAAGGAGATTAAACTATATACCATGTGAATATATGACTTTTCAATATAAAAACCCTATTCAATAAACAAAAGAATTGTGACATGACGAACCTCGGCAGTGATCTAGAGAAGAGGAGACTTTGGAGAGATGCTGGGGAGGTTAAAGAAGCAGACCTTGGGAGCTGAGGAAAGGTGCTGGGGAGGGAGGAAGAGCAGGGGTGACAGTAGTGTCCCCACTTCCTTACTCCTTCTGTGCCCAGAGCACCAAGGAACAAGGGCACAGGCTGGGGGAGACCAGGGTCTGCCCCCCTGCTGTGAGGAGGGAGCTTGTGGGAAGCTCCACGCTTAGCCTCATTCCCACTTCTTGGTGCCTTTCTCTTGATTACATTTTCCCATCCAAAAAGTCTGCACTGTTGGATTACTTGAGCCGCTGGCATCCCACCCATACCACCCATCACTCCTTCTGTTCCATCTCTTTGGGGGATATCCTCCATGAGAGGTTACCTGGGTTTTTTTATAGCAGGGTTGTCCCAGTGTGTGGAGTTTGGGAATTCTTCAGAACTCCAGAGCTTAGAGTTCAGGGTGGTAATTGAGGACAGAGCGATGGGAAAGGGGGGGTGGTAAGATGCAGGATCTCAGCTCACCACTCCAACACCCATCAGGACAGTTCCACTTTTGCACACTTTGTGCTATTGGGGTGTTGCCAGTATTTTGTTTGAAGAAAGCATTCCTTAGCGCCTTTTTTTTTATTATTATTATTATTATTCCTTAGCTTTTTTAAAAGTTGGAAAACCACTGCCTCAGTGATGTTCTTGGGTAATAGGTGTCCTAGACAGTCTCATGGGTTTTAATTTTAATTAGGGTTTAGTTTTGCTCCTACCACAGTTTCTATCATTCCATCTGGCCTTTGTTCCTCCATTCTTGGAATGAGGAAAATAACTCAATCCTCACCGGAGGCCACATTTAAGTGATGATAATGCCCAAGGAACCTTAGAGACCCCAGAGGACGGGCTGCCTCCCCTAGCTCTGGTTACCATCTTTCCTGAGTCCGTCCTGGTTGTGGTTTCTGTTCCCCAAACCACCTTCCTTCTCCAAACCACATTAATTTTCCAACTTTAACAAGCTTAAGATGCAGGTTAGAGCTTAGTATCTGGGGTGGTGCCCAAGATTTGCATTTCTAACAAGCTCCTGGGTGGTGCTCATGTTGCAGGTTGGCAGATCACACCAAATAAATAGCCAGGCTTTGGAGCTTCTATCTGACCCAGGGACCCCACAGCCCGTGTCATTGGTGATATTACCTGGTGTGTCTGTTGGGGTTTCAGCATGGCTGGAGTTGGAGGCTGGGTCTGAACCTGACAAACCAAGGTAGAGAAGGTTTATCAATAGGTCTGTGAGGACAGAGGCGTCTGATTCTGAGTGTCAAAGGAGACAGGGAGAGATTTCCAGGGACAAAGACAAGAAAAAGGCTTTAGGGAGGAGGTGAACCCTGATGTGACTAAGAACCCACAGGACAGGGTGACCAGAGTCCTAAGGTCATCTTCAAATGAGGAGAGGGCCCTGGAGCCTCCTGCCATCCCTCTGTCCCCTCTGTGGTAGCCAATCATCAGATTGGTTTGCTGTCTTGCAGGAATTGTTCTAGGGATCCTATGTGTTCTAACCAATATGCTCTTTCTGGGAACTATTCCATTTCCCCTGCAATATGAAATTCTGAGGGAGCTGCCAATCATAATAGCTAATCCCACTGGCCACAGAGATTGGTCCAAGCAATGGTCATATGACCCAAGGCTGCACTTGGAATGTGGCCAGTATGACTGAAGAACTAAATTGCTTATTTTATTTGACTTTTTTTTTTTAGAGATTTTATTTATTTATTTGAGAGAGAGAATGAGATAGAGAGAGAGAGAGCATGAGAGGGAAGAGGGTCAGAGGGAGAAGCAGACTCCCCGCTGAGAAGGGAGCCCGACGTGGGACCTGATCCCGGGACTCCAGGATCACGACCTGAGCCGAAGGCAGTCGCTTAACCAACTGAGCCACCCAGGCGCCCTATTTTATTTGACTTTTAAAAAATTAAAATTGAAATTGAAATACGGCGATTCAATTTCTTATTGAAAATCTTTCGAGTTGGAGTTGGAGGGAAACATCTTTTTTCTCTCCTGGTGGCATATCTTAGTAGGTGTGAGTCTGGAGCTACCAATTGCCGAGTTATGGCACACCCCACCCCCATCCCTGCCCCTCAGCTCAAAGAGAAAAGTAAAGGTGAGAGATGGAGGGCTCTGGTGATTTTTGAGACTCTGGTAACATTTGTCCCTAAGGCCAGCTCCTTCCCTGTCTTCCCCACAGATTGATTATGTGAGTCTCAAAATAATAAATCACACCTCCTGCACCCTCCCCCCTTTTAAAGGTAGTTTGAGTCGGGTTTCAAGGATTCGTAATTTAGAGTCCCAACTAACAGCCCTTCCCCCCATCACTCTGAGAAGAAATGAAGTTTTGGGAGAGTGGGGGTAGGAGGGGAACATGAGAAGGCAGACAAGCCTCCAGAGGTCCCAGGGATATGGTCTAGTGCTGGCAGGTGCCAATGATCTCAGAAACCCACACGGTCTTTTTCGCTTCCAAATGCACCAGATGAAGATCCCAAAGCACAGGATGGAGGCCATCAAGGAGAGCCCAATGTAAAGCTCTGTGTTTCCCTCGGGCCCTTTGAAGAGGAAATGAATGATATTAATATAAATAATGACAAGGAGATTGGAACAAACAATGGACAAAGCATAATGGCCATCCTACCTGCCTCTTAAAATCTCATGTTATTGCAGAAAATATTCCTTTTCATTCATTCATTCTACAACTATTTATTGAGCAGGCATTGTTCTGGGCTAGAAGTTATAGCAGTACTTAAGGCAGACACTGTTCCGTGGTAGAGAAATTTATGCCTTGCTCAGTGTCCAGAGTTTTAAATACCTGAACAGGATTTGAACGCAGGCTGCCTGATCCTAGGACACCTTTATCCATCACACTACACTGCTCCTCTCTGTAAATGGTGTAAGGGCAGTTCTAGGCTCGAGACAGAGTCAAGATTCCACTTAATAGGGCTCTAAATCTGTCTGCCAGCCTGACCTAGCATTGTCACATCCTAGGTAAACCTTCCTTTTTCCTACTTCCTTCTAGAGCAGAACAGAGCACAGAACTCAGGGTTCCAGTCATGCTTCTGCTGTGTGACCTTGGGCAAGTCCCTTATCCTTTTTGAGTCTCAGTGTCTTTATGTAATGGAGAATAGTAAGAATATTTGCTGTGTAGGATTATTGTGAAGTTAATTGTGTTAAAATGTGCAAGGATAGAATAGTGCCTGGCATCTAGTAAGAGCCACTAGGGCTTTCTTTCTAGCTTCCACTCACAGTCTGTGTTCCTTTGTGGTCTGCATTGCTTCACCTATCAATTTCTTTTTTTTTTTTTTGGTAAGATTTTTTAAAATTTATTTTTTGACAGAGAGAGATAGTGAGAGAGGGAACACAACCAAGGGGAGTGGGAGAGGGAGAAGCAGACTTCCCCTGGAGCAGGGAGCCCGATGCAGGGCTCGATCCCAGGACCCTGGGATCATGACCTGAGCCGAAGGCAGACGCTTAATGACTGAGTCACCCAGGCGCCCCTCCTTCACCTATCAATTTCTATCAACTCATCTCCGCTAACTTCTGACACTGTGCTGTCCAAGTATGGTAGCCACAAGCCATGGTATGAGCCCTTGGAATGTGGCCAGTATGACTGAAGAACTAAATTGCTTATTTTATTTGATTTTTAAAAAATTAAAATTGAAATTGCGATATGGCGATACAATTTCTTATTGAAAAGCTGATAAGTAGGTTTGGAAAAACCTGGATATGTAAATCTATTTTTTTCAACTGTAACTTTTATGAAATCTGAATACAGATCAAGTACTTCCCATGGAAATCTGGCATCTGAATTGAGATGGGCTCTTAGTGTAAAATACATACTGGATTCAAAAACTTAGTACAACATGAAATGTAAATTATCTTAAGGATAATAGTATTGAATACAATCCAAAATGGTGATATTTTGGATTTAGGGGGTTAAATAAGACATTATTAAAGTTAGTTTTACTTGTTTCTTTTGGCTTTATCTAATGTGGCTATTAGAAAGTGTAAATTAGGGGCACCTGGGTGGCTCAGTCATTAAGCGTCTGCCTTCAGCTCAGGTCATGATCCCAGGGTCCTGGGATTGAGCCCTATGTCGGGCTCCCTGCTCCGTGGGAAGCCTGCTTCTCCCTCTCCCACTCCCCCAGCTTGTGTTCCCTCTCTCTCTGTGTCTTTCTGTCAAATAAATAAATAATAAAATATTAAAAAAAAAATAGAAAGTGCAAATTACATGTGTGATTCCCATTATATTTCTATTGGAATATGCTACTCTAAAGCACTCTCGCCCACACTCCCTCACTGTCACTGCACTTCATAAAGAACCACTCAGAATGCAAACACTTGGACCCAAGCATCCAAGGCCCCGAGGTCTGACTGAGCAGAGATAAACGGTAACCTGGACAGATGTTGCCGGAAAGAAACTGCTGGGAGCTGTTGCTGACAGGGTTGCTGGCGATGCATGTGAAGTTGGGATGATTTTCACCACTTGTCCAGGAGACATTGAGGTGAGGCCCCCCTTGGGACTCAAAGGTTCCTTTTGGTATGGGGGTCCATCTATATGTCACGTTGTGTCCACTGTCCTCCACTGAGCATGTCAGGCTGACCCTGCAGATGCCATCCTCAGCAAGCCCAGGATGCCAGGTAATTTTTGGCTTCTTCAATCTCCCTGTGTGACGAGAAAGACAGACCTAATGCAGAGTCAGGTCTGCCTGCTGGGCAGTCACCATGTCTTCACTCAATCAGAATATATTCATTAAGTTGTGTGTTGACACTGCATTAGGGCCGAGAAAGTGCCTCCAGAAGTCACAGGCATTTTGGAGTGCACCTGGCCTTTCTCTTGGTAGTCATGAAATCTCAGACATATCACTTCACCTCTTTGGGCCTTTGATGCTCAGATGTTAAATAAAGGAGTTAATGAGAACTGGAAAAAAAGATACCACATCAGTCTATACAGTACCTTGTGAAGAACTAGCAAACCCATCGACACAGGTAAGTACAATGTCCCATGTGCTTTGAAGACTCTTGAAGACTTACATGTTGAGGTTCCATCATCTAAGTTTTTTACCCAGGAGATAAAGTGTAAAGAGGTGAGTGCAGTGCTGACATAGAGTTAGTGCTCAATAAATGTTAGCAATTTTAAAAGAAATATAACATTGTCTCCAGTCGTTTCCAGTTTATTATTATTTTTACCTAATCTTCTTGTCTTTTTTTAAATATTTGAGTCACAATATGCTATAGATGTGGACTAGCCGACTTCCAGCATATTTTAACAGGACCACGCACAGTGATTCTTCACAGATACTTAGACACCAACAAACCCAGGCAGGGGATGTGATGACCATATCTGGATGGTACAGGTGAAGGAGCTGGCAAATGTAAGCCCAACTGTCAAGACAAGCTCCTGCGAGGCCCAAGCCTGAGGAGAAGACTGCAAGTTCTGTCCCTCCCACTCGGGAGAGCCAAGCAACTGTCCCTCGTGGAGGTCATAGGGTCTTTGGACACTAAAGCCTTTCACCTCAGTCTTCTCTGAGTCCACTCCAGCCAGCTGTGCCCTTATATTCTATAAAAATGCAGGTTGAAGAGTTCTGAGACCCACCTGACATGCAATGCAGGAGGACAGGAGCAAGTACTGAAGGTTGGGTGGTGGAGATTAACTGGAAGCTTAGTAAAAGCGGGACCTTGGCAGGTAGATTTTGCCCAGCTGCTGGTTGGAAATTTTTCCTCCTGTGAGTTGACTGGTCTGGACTCAATAGCTGTCCTAGTGATCTGAGGCATTTTGGTAGGAGGAGAGGCTCAAGGGGGGAGGGAGGCAGGGAAAGCAGCAAAGAGGAGAAACATCTCAGGGAAGGAATCTAATGATGAGTGCTCTGCTCAGAAACTCACCGTAGAGGAGCAGGGTGACGTGTTTTGTGCTGATGACTCCGGAGGCCTTTGAGCATACATAGGCATAGTAGTGGCCAGCATTCTCCATCTTTAGCTGGCCAATCATCAGGGAGTAGTCTTGGCTAGAGTTCTTGTTGGGATCCTTGAACTTAATGAATGAATCAGCTGTTGCTGCTTCTTTCTGCTCTTTGCTGATAATAGATGTGTTAAACATCCAGATGACATTCTGTCCGGAGTGACTGGCCGAGAGTGTTAGGGGCAGGGTGACTGACTCCCCCAGGATCCCCACCACCATCTCCCCCATTGACTCTCCTCTGGAGGCTCCTGGAGCTGCAGTCAGAGATGAAACATTACGGCTTCAGTCATTGGCTCTCTTCTCTTAACCCTCAGCCTGCCTGAAGGAGATAGAAGCCCCATAGGCTCTCCTGCCCACACCTCCTTTCCCTTCCTCTGATGAGGCATCCAATGAACACTTGTCATGGACAGATATGCACCTGGCTCTGCCTTTTGCATACTCAGGCCTCTCTTGCCCTCCTTGTCCTTCTGAGGAGACCTCAGGAGATACCTCCACCCAAACAAAGAACAAACTAGATCTCTTCATCCGTATTCTCTTCCCTTCCCTTGCTCTACCCTTAGGGTTTCACAGTTCCCTGGGAGTTCCCAAGTACCCTGCCAGTCTCTCTCAGGCCCCGGAGGGTAGAGAACAAGAGTTTTTCAAGCCTGTCTTCTTCCCCACTCCACCTGTGTCCTGCCAGAATCCTGGCGGTTTAGACTTCATAGCTGCTCAGACCATTTCTGGAATCCCCTGGAGGGCCTAAGTGGAACCTGTACCTGTACAGAACTGCCGGGCATGGACGGGGCTGGAGGTGTTCTGGCTGACTGGGTTCCTGGCTGTGCAGATATATGGCAGGTCTGGGTCACACAGCCTCCAGTGGATGATGAAAGTGGAGCCCTCATGGGATTCAGAAGCATGAGCATCCCTCAGGGTCCAGCTGTACAGAACACTTGTCCCTGCCCTCTCCACAAAGCAAATCAAGGTAATGTTACAGGAGCCACTATCAGACATGTTCACAGACTTCATGATGACTTGAGGCTCCGGCACCTGCTCTGTAGGGACAAGAGCAATGAGGAGATTACTCAGATCTTTGCGGCAGTAGGAAAGGGCTGGGAGAAGGTGGTGATGATAGAAGATCTAGGGATAGAAGGAAGAAGCCAGAATACCTGTTCCAGGGGAAGTTTTCTCTTAGCTTCCCACTGCAGCCTAGACCGAGTGCCTCTCTTCTACACTTCCATAAATCCTGTATAGGTGTTATCTCCGTGACTCAACATGACACTAGTGTGATTACTCCTCTCCCCCCACATCAGTATATGAACTACTTGAGGACAGGGCCAATGCCTGTGCCTGAATATCTAACACCCGAATGGCCCATGAAAGTCTCTCTTGAGTGTTTGGTGAATAAATAGATAAATTAGGCAGTCCCAAACACTGTGGAACAGGGAGCTCTGCCTCTAGAATTTGAGTTGCTTTTGCCTTTTAGTCTGAATTTATGACCATTGTGCTTCCAGACCTTCTTCCTGATCCTTTCCTTTCCCTTTGTTCCATTTCCTCTATCCACAGTGTGTGTGTGTGTGTGTGTGTGTGTGTGTTTAAGTTTGCTTTTTTGGAGGAATTGGTAATACATAAAATTGAAAAGATACAAAAAAGTGTACATAATTAAAAAAGCAAGCTTTCTTGTCTCCAGCTACCTATTTCTTCTCCCCAAGAATTACTGTTATTAATTTCTTATTGATCTTTCTAGAAATATTCTAGGTATAGATACATACATGATAGTATACTATATTTATACTGTCCTGAACCCTCTAAAATTTAATAATACATTGGATTTCTGGCGAAGATGGCAGAGTAGAAGAACCCTAAGCTCACTTATCTCATGGATACAACTAGGTAACACCCACATCAATGTAAACAACCCAGAAAATGACCTGAAGACTGCCAGAACAAATGCTCCACAGCTAAACGTATAGAAGAGGTCACATCAAAGAGGGTAGGAAAGGCAGAGATGCAGCTGGGAACTAAATGGACCCATAGAACTGTCCATGGGAGGGAGGGATGGTATGGGTGCAGAGGAGGGACAGAAACAGACTCTCACACAGGGAAGATGAATCCCCATAACATTTGATTTTGAAAAACCAGAGGGGCCTAATTTCATGAGTTCTTATAATCAGCGGGGCTTAACACCTGGAACTTTAAAAATCAGCTGGCTGGGCTCTGGGAGGGGGAGAGGAAACTGAATCCCTGCCCTTAAAGAGGCAGCACAACAAATAGCATAGAAGCAGCAGTTTGAAAAACACCTGGAATATATGGGAAGGAGATTTGTTTATTAATCTCAGAGCATGTGCTGGAGGGGCAGAGATCATTGGGAGACTTCTCCAGGAACAAAGGAGCTGGAGGACATCATTTCCCTCCCCTGCCCTCCTCCCCAGCCTAGACACATTGACACCTGTGGGAACCAGTGCAGTGCCAACTCAATACCTAACTTGCTAATAGCACACTCGACCCCCACATTTTTCAACAGACATGCCCCTTCCAGTCATGCCTCCATTCCAGGTCCCCTCCCACAGCAGATCTGTACACACCTTGCTAACACCAGACACCTTGCCCTCCACCCAACCCCCACTTCTGCAGATCTGCCCCCTCCAACCCAGCTTGCCTGGGTCCCATTTGCTATAGGTCCCCTCCTTCAGCCCACTGGTGCAAACCTTGATAACACTGCCCAACTTGCCCCTGGGTTCTCCTGTGGTCCTGCCCCTCCAATGTGCCCTGGCCAAAGCCCATCCAAAGTGGTGCCACAAACCTGGCAGTGTGCAAGGAGTGCCAGCAGGGGCCAGCACCACTCCAAAGTGATTCCTGTCCCAAGGAGAAGGGAAGATAATCACACACACACACACACACACACACACACACACACGTCCAACCATGGCCCTAGCAATGTGCTAAGGGCAGACATCTCGTCTCAGTGCAGGCCTTGCCCACCAATCAAAGCTTCTCAGGGAACAAAACAAGGAAAGCACCCTGTATTCAGTGCTACTGCATCTCTGGCAAATGCCTGGTCTGACTCAACTCAAGCCCAGGCAGCCCTAGACTGGCCCACTAATAACACAAGGACCAAACCCTGCCCACAACAAGCAAGGATGTCATTGTAGATGACTGGATTAAAGGCAAAAGTGCCTCAGCCACACCAGTAGGGCATACACAACACATATAGGAGACACCCCTAAAGCTCCAATTTCTGGTGAATGAGAACACTGCACTTCAGGGCACTCCAGGACCCCTTCTTTATAAGGCCACTACTTTCAAGAGCATGAGACACAACTGACTTTCCTACCACATATAAACAGACACAGATGGGAGGGATGGGGTGGCTGGTGATGGACATTGGGGAGGGTATGTGCTATGCGAGCACTGTGAATTATGTAAGACTGAGGAATCACAGACCTTACCCCTGAAACAAATAGTACATATATGTTAATAAAAAAAATAAACAGACACAGAGAATTAGACAAAATGAGGAGAAAGAGGAATATGTCCCAGATGAAAGAACAGGACAGACTCATGGCAACAGAGATAAAAGAAACTGAGATAAGTAATATGCCGGGTGGAGAATTTCAAGTAATGGTCATAAGGATACTCACTGGACTTGAGAAGAATGGAGGACCTCAGTGAGACCTTTAAAAAAGAAAAATGGAAAACATAAAAAAGAACCAAGCAGAGAAGAACTCAATAACTGAAATTAAAAATATTTGGATGGGGTGCCTGGGTGGCTCAGTCGTTAAGCGTCTGCCTTCAGCTCGGGTCGTGATCCCAGGGTCCTGGGATGGAGCCCCACATCGGGCTCCCTGCTCGGCGGGAAGCCTGCTTCTCCCTCTCCCACTCCCCCTGTTTGTGTTCCTGCTCTCGCTGTGTCTCTCTCTGTCAAATAAATAAATAAAATCTTTAAAAAAAAAATTTGGATGGAGGGGCACTTGGGTGGCACAGTCAGTTAAACATCCGACTCTTGCTTTCAGCTCAGGTTGTGATCTCAGGGTCGTGAGATTGAGCCCCACTTTGGGCTCCATGCTCAGCATGAAGTCTGCTTGAGATTCTTCTTCTTCCTCTGTCCCTCCCACTCATGATTTCTCTCTCTCTTTCTCTCTAAAATAAGTAAATAAACCTTAAAAAAAATACACAGATGGAATAAAAAGTAGACTAGAAGAAGCAGGTGAATGAATCAGTGACCTAGAGGACAGAGTAATGGAAAGCAATCAAGCTGAATGGGAGAGAGGAAAAAAATAATAAAAACTGAAAATAGACTTAGGGAATTCAGCAACACCATCAAGTGTAATAGCATTCTCAATATAGTGATTCCAGAAGGAGAAGAGAGAGAAAGGGGAGCAGAAAATTCATTTGAAGAAATAATAGTTGAAAACTTACTGAATCTGAGGAAGGAGACAGAAATCCAGATCTAGGAGGCACAGAGAGCCCCCAAAAGTCAACCCAAGAAGGTTTGCACCAAAATACATAGTAATTAAAATGGCAATAAGTAGTGATAAAGAATTTTAAAAACAGCAAGAGAAAACAGTTACCTACAAGGAAGATCCCATAATGCTATGAGGTAATTATTTTTGGCAGAAACTTTGTAGGCCAGAAGGGTGTGTCATGATATATTCAAAATGCTGAAAGGAAAAACCTGCAACCAAGAATATTCTATCCAGCAAAAGCTACCATTTAGAATAGAAGAAGAGACAAAGAGTTTCCCAGACAAAAGTTAAAGGAATTCATGACTACTAAACTAGCCCTATAAGAAATGTTAAAGGGGATTCTTTGAGTGGAAAGGAAAGATCAGAAGTAGGAGTAAGAAAAGTAGGAAGCACAAAAGCAGTAAAAGTAAGTTTATCTATAGAAATCAATCAAACGATTCACTAAAAGGATATAAAGTATTTCACCATATACCAAAACTGTGGGAGGGAGAGGAGTAAAAAATATGTTCAAATTTAAGTGACCATCAACTTAATATAGACTGCTATATGGAGAAGATGTTATATAAAAACCTATAATGGTAAGCACAAATCAAAACTAGTAATAGATATGCAAAAAATAAATGGAACAGAATCTAAGCATATCACTAAAGAAAGCCAACAAACCATGATACAAGAGAGCAAGAAAAGAAACAGAGAATAACTACAAAAATAACCATAAACAAGTAACAAAATGGCAATAAGTACATACCTATCAATAATTATTTTGAATGCAAATGGACTGAAAGCTCCAATCAAAAGACATAGGGTGACAGAATGGATAAAAAAGCAAGACCTATCTATGTGCTGCCTCCAAGAGCCTCATTTCAGTCCTAAAGACGCATGCAGATTGAAACTGAAGGGATGGAAAAGAAGTTAGTATGCTAGTGGAAATGAAAAGAAAGCTGGGGACGCAATACCTGTATTGGACAAAATAGACTTTAAAACAAAGACTGTAACAAGAGACAAAAAAGGACACTATATAATCATAAAGGGTACAATCCAACAAGAAGATGTAACAATTGTAAATATTTATGCACCCAACATGGGAGTACCCAAATACACAAAACAGCTAATAACAAATGAAAAGGAAGTAATTGATAGTAATACAATAGTAGATACCCCACCATACAATAGTACAATACCCCACTTGCATCAATGGAGAGATAATCCAAACAGAAAAGCAACAAGGAAACAAATGGCTTTGGATGACATATTGGACCAGATGAATCTAACAGATATATTCAGAGCATTTCATCCTAAAACAGTAGAATACACATTGTTTTCAAGTGCACATCGAACATTCTTCAGGGTAGGTCACATACTAGGCCACTAAACAAGTCTCAACAAGTTTACAAAGATCAAAGTCGTATTATGCATCTTTTCTGACAACAACACTATGAAACTAGAAATCAATCACAAGAAGAAATTTGGGAAGAACACAAATACATGGAGGTTAAATAACATGCTACTAAACAATGAATGGGTCAACCAAGTCAAAGAAGAAATAAAAAAATACATGGAGACAAATGAAAATGAAAACACAGTGGTCCAAAATCTTTGGGATGTAGCAAAAGCTGTTCTAAGAAGGAAGTTTAGAGCAATATAGGCCTACCTCAAGAAGCAAGAAAAATCTCAAATACACAACCTAACTTTATACCTAAAGGAGCTAGAAAAAGAAGAACAAACAAAACCCGAAACCAGTAGAAGGAAGGAAATAATCTATATTAGAGCAGAAATAAATGAAACAGAAGCTAAAAAAACAACAGAACAGATCAATGAAACCAGGAACTGGTTCTTTGAAAAGATCAACAGGGGTGCCTGGGTGGCTCAGTCAGTTAAGGGTCTGCCCCCCATCCTGGGGTTCTGGGATCCAGCCCCACATCAGGCTCCCTGCTCAGCAGGGGGCTTACTTCTCCTTCTCCCTCTGCTGCTCCCCCTGCTTGTGCTCTCTCTCAAATAAATAAATAAGTAAAATCTTTTTTTAAAAAAAGAAAAGATCAACAACATTGATAAACCTTTAGCCAGTCTGGGGTGGGGGAGAAGGGAGGGGGAGAGAAAGAGATATATATAGAGAGAGACTCAAATAAACAAAATCAGAAACAAAAGAGGAGAAATAACAACTCACATCACAGAAATACAAAGGATTATAAGAGAATATTATGAAAAATTATACGCCAACAAATTGGATAATCTAGAAGAGATGGATGAATTCCTAGAAACATATAACCTCCCAAAACTGAATCATAAAGAAATAGAAAACAGGAACAGACTGATTACCAGCAATGAAATAGAATCAATAATAAAAAAACTCTCCCAAAATAAAAGTCCAGCACCAGACAGCTTCATAGATGAATTCTACCAGTTAAAGAAGAATTAATGCGTATTATTCTCAAACTATTCCAAAAAATAAAAGAGGAAAGAAAGCTTGCAAATTCATTATATGAGGCCAGCGTTACTCTGATTCCAAAACCAGATAAAGACACTACAAATAAAAAAAAGAAAAAAAGAAAACTACAGGCCAATATTTCTGATGAACATAGATGCAAAATCCTCAACAAAATATTAGCAAACTGAGTCCAACAATACATTTAACAAATCATTCACCACGATTGATTGGGATTTATTCCTGGGATGCAAAGGTGGTTCAATATTCACAAATCAATCAACATGGTACATTACATCAACACGAGGAAGGATAAAAACCATTTGATCATTTAAATAGATACAGAAAAAGCATTTGGCAAACTACAACATCCATTCATTATAAAAATCCTCAACAAAGTAGGTTTAGAGGGAACATACCTCAACATAGTAAAGGCAATATATAAAAAACCCACAGCTAATGTTTTACTCAGTGGTGAATAATTGAGAGCTTCCCCACTAAGGTCAGGAACAAGACAAGGATGTCCACTCTCACCACTTTTATTCAACATAGTACTGGGTGTCCTAGCCACAGCAATCAGACAACAAAAAGAGATAAAAGACATCCAAATTGGTAACAAAGAAGTAAAATTTTCACTATTTGCAGATGACATGATGCTATGTATAGAAAACCCTAAAGATTCTACCAAAAAACTACTAGAACTGATAAATGAATTCAGTAAGGTTGCAGAATTCAAAATCAATATATAGAAATCCATTGCATTTCTATACACTAATAATGAAGAAGCAGAAAGAGAAATTAAGAAAATAATCGCATTTACAATTGCACCAAAAATAATGAAATACTCAGGAATAAATTTAACCAAGGGGGTGAAAGACCTGTACTCTGAAAACTGTAAAACATTGATGAAGGAAATTGAAGATGACCTAAATAAATGGAAAGATATTCCATGCTCATGGATTGGGAGAACAAATATTATTAAAATGTCCATGTAACCCAAAGCAATCTACAGATTTAAGGCAATCCCTATCAAAATACCAAAAACATTTTTCACAGAACTAGAACAAACAATCCTAAAATTTGTAGGGAACCACACAAGAACCTGAATAGTCAAAGCAATCTTGAAAAAGAACAAAACTGGAGTTATCCTGATACCAGATTTCAAGATATGCTACAAAACTGAAGTAATCAAAGCAGTATCGTTTGGCACCAAAATGGACAGATAGATAAATGGAACAAAATAGAGAGCCCAAAAATAAACCCACGATTGCATGGTCAATTAATCTTTGACAAAGGAGGCAAGAATATGCAATGGGAAGAAGACAGTCAACAGAAGGTGTTAAGAAAACTGGAAAGCTACATGCAAAAGAAAGAAACCGAACCACTTTTTTACATCATATACAGAAATAAACTCAAAATGGACTAAGGACTTAAATGTGAGACTTGAAACCATAAAAATCCTAGAAGAGAGAACAGGCAGTAATTTCTCTAACTTAGCTATAGCAACATTTTTATAGATATGTCTCCTGAGACACGGGCAACAAAAGCAAAAATAAACTGTTGGGACTACATCAAAATAAAAAGCTTCTGCACATCAAAAGAAACAATCAACAAAACTAAAAGACAACCTACTGAATGGGAGAAGATATTTGTAAATGACATATCTGATAAAGGGTTAGTATCCAAAATATATAAAGAACTTATACAACTCAACACCCCCAAAATAAATAATCCAATTAAAAATGGGCAGAAAACATGAACATTTTCCCAAAGAAGACATCCAGATGGCCAACAGACACATGAAAAGTTGCTCATAATCACTAATCATCAGGGAAATGCAAATCAAAACCACAGTGAGATATCATCTCATACCTGTCAGAATGGCTAAAATAAAAAACACAAGAAACAGCAAGTGTTAGCAAGGATATGGAGAAAAAGGAACTCTCGTGCACTGTTGGTGGGAATGCAAATTAGTGCAGTCACTGTGGAAACAGTACGGAGGTTCCTCAACAAGTTAAAAATAGAACTAACATATGATCCAGTAATTCCAGTACTGGGTATTCACCCAAAGAATATGAAAACACTAATTTGAAAAGATATATGCACCCTTGTGTTTGTAACAGCATTATTTACGATAGCTAAATTACAGAAGCAGCCCAAATGTTTATCGATAGATGAATGGATAAAGAAGATGTGGTGTATATATATGAATATTAGTCAGCCATAAGAAGGAGTGAAATCTTATAATTTGAACAACATGGATGGTTCCAGAGAATATCTTGCTAAGTGAAATAAGTCAGTCAGAGAAAGACAAAAACCATATGATTTCACTCTTATGTGGGATTTAAGAAACAAAATGAACAAAGGAAAAAAGACAAACCAAAAAACAGATTCTTTACAGAGAACACACTGATGGTTGCCAGAGGGTTGGTGGGGGATGGGTGAACTAAGTGAAGGGGATTAAGAGTACACTTCTCATGATGAGCACCAGGTGATGTATGGAAGTGTTGAATCACCATATTGTACACCTGAAACTAATAGAACACTGTATGTTAACTATGCTGGAATTTTTAAAAAGTTAACAATATATGTTGGAAATTGTATGTCGGTACATATTGAGTTCATTAATTCTATTTCTATTCACTGCATAGGATTCCATTTCTTTAACATATGCAGAGCACTCAACAAATCAATAAAAAAGGTCAAACTATCTGATAGAAAGATGCTGCCAATGGCTGAATTGTGTCTTCCCAAAGTTCATATCTTGAAGCCCTAATTCCCAGTACCTCAGAACATGGATTTTATTTGGATGTAGGACTACATTTGGAGATAGAGGTCATTAAGTTAAAATGAGGTCATTAGAATGGTCTAATTCAAAATGACTGGTGTCCTTACAAGAAGAGGAGATTAGGAGACAGATGACAAAAACAGAGGGATATGAGGACATATCAAAAAGACGACTATCTGCAAGCCTAATAGCAAGGTCTCAGAAGAAACTCAACCTGCTGGGCGCCTGGGTGGCTCAGTTGGTTAAGCAACTGCCTTCGGCTCAGGTCATGATCCTGGAGTCCCGGGATCGAGTCTCACATCGGGCTCCCTGCTCAGCAGGGAGTCTGCTTCTCCCTCTGACCCTCTTCCCTCTCGTGCTCTCTGTCTCTCATTCTCTCTCTCTCAAATAAATAAATAAAATCTTTAAAAAAAAAAAAAAGAAAGAAACTCAACCTGCTGACAGCTTGATCTTGGACTTCCACCCTCCAGAACTGTGAAAATAAGTTTCCATGGTTTAAACCACCCAGTCTGTGGTGTTTTGTTATGGCAACCCTAGCAAGCTAGTGCAGATGGATAAAGGATATTAACAGAGTTGCAGAAAAGAAATACAAATGGCTCTTAAAAATATTTTGGCTGTGTTTTCGCTTACATCTGTATTTATGGAACTGGGTGAAAAGGACCAACATGGTAGTCCTATTTGTCCTAGAGAGATAAACACCTAGGGAGAAAAAAAATCTGCTTTTAAAAATAAAAGATCAGGGGCACCTGGGTGGCTCAGTCAGTTAAGCCTCTGCCTTTGCCTCAGGTCATGATCTCAGGGTCCTGGGAGGGAGCCCCACGTCCAGCTCTGTGCTCAGTAGGGAATCTGCTTGTCCCTCTCCCCTGCTCATGCTCTCTCTCTCTCTCTCACTCTCTCACTTTCTCAAACAAACAAACAAACAAACAAATCTTAAAAGATAAAAGATCAGGTGTTCCTGGGTGGCTTAGTTGGTTGAGCACCCAGCTCTTGATTTCAGCTCAGGTCATGATCTGGGGTCATAAGATTGAGCCCTGTGTGGAGTCTGCTTCAGATTCTCCCCCTCCGCCCACTTCCTCTCAAAATAAATACATAAAATCTTAAATAAATAAATAAACGATAAAAACCCACAGAAGCTCTCTGGAACTCACCATAGACATGCAACATAAATTCCTTGTCAGTGGTGAATGTGGAAGTCTTTCGGTTTATCTGGGCTTTGTAGGATCCTGCATCTCCCAAAGTCAGGTTGCTGAGAGACAAGGAGAAACTGTTCCAGCTGATGGTTAGTCGGTCCTGGTAGCTTTTGGCCATAAAGAAAATCTGTTTTTCTGCAGTTGCTAAAGCAAGAGCACCTTGGGGACCATTCCAGGTGACGTGCTCAAACTCTGTGTCTACTGAAATGTTCAGGGGGAAAGTTACTGAACGCCCTAGAATCCCAGGCACCACTGTTGGGGTTGAGTCCTTTCCAGAGGCTCCTAGCCCTGCAGAGACAAAAGAGGGACTTGGAGGAGCAGCTGGACTCCTCAGCCTTCATTCATTCATTCATTCATTCAATAAAAACATACTGGAAATAAATGTCAGATGTTGAGAAATGAAATTCCTGCCCTCCTCCCTCTAGGCTTGTTGCTCAGCAGAATCATTCATTCTTTCCCTCACTTAGAAAACACTCTATCCCACAAACACATCTACAATAATCAGTAAAACAGACTTTCTGGGTTTCTGTCCCAATGAAGAAATTAGCCTGGTGACTTTGGGTGAATTTTTGAATTTCCCTGAGAATCAGTTTACTCATCTATAAAACAGAAATGTTCACACCTATACTATCTTCCTTTAGGGGTATGGTAGAGATAGAATAAAAATAGGTTGCTGTAAATCATAAAGAAACAGGGCGCCTGGGTGGCTCAGTTGGTTAAGCGACTGCCTTCGGCTCAGGTCATGATCCTGGAGTCCCGGGATCGAGTCCCGCATCCGGCTCCCTGCTCAGCGGGGAGTCTGCTTCTCCCTCTGACCCTCTTCCCTCTTGTGCTCTCTATCTCTCATTCTCTCTCTCTCAAATAAATAAATAAAAACTTTAAAAAAAAATAATAAAAAAAATCATAAAGAAACAAAAGAAGTAAAAAAGGAGCATCTTGTAAAAAATGAGATGGGTTGATGGATGGCTAGTAGGGTGGATAGATGGACAGGTGTGTGAGAAGGGAAGTGAAGTGAAAGTAAAGCCAGGGTGGGAAGCACATGCGTGTTAGTGCAAAATTCTTTCAAATTTTCTCTGTGTTCAAAAATTTTCATAATAAAATGTCGGCCACAAAAGGAGCATTTCTCATCTCTATCTCACTCTTCCGTTTCCTCATTGTCCAGGGGATCTCAGACTGGCTTTGCCTTGGCCAGGGAAATCTGGTCTGTCCTTGGGAACAAGGTTTGGGGTTGGGAATAGTGAAGTAGCATGGATTCCACTTCTGATTTCCTCATCTCGGGAAAGACCAAGATCCCTGATAAACATTGTTACCATGGCTTCCACAGGCCCAGCATCAGTCGAGGCAGCTCATTTGCTTGCAGGGGCCCTGTGAGTGTCTGCTGGATGACCCCAGCCTGGATTCCCAGATTCAAGGACTTCTGAGGCTCTGGAGAGTCCTCTGAAAATTCCTAATCAAATCAGATGTGTTCAGGACCCAGATTACTCCAGGAATCTGGGTGGAAAAGTAAGTAGAAAATGTTAGAGAGGGGCGCCTGGGTGGCTCAGTCGGTGAAGTGTCTGCCTTCGGCTCAGGTCATGATCCCGGGGTCCTGGGATCGAGCCCCACATCGGGCTCCCTGCTCCACAGGAAGCCTGCTTCCCTTTCTCCCACTCCCCCTGCTTGTGTTCCCTCTCTCACTGTGTCTCTCTCTCTGTCAAATAAATAAATAAAATCTAAAAAAAAAAAAAAAAATGAAAATGTTAGAGAGAGAGGAAAAGCTGAAGCCCAGCCTGGAGGGATGGAAAGAGGCTGAGGTGTGCTCTGAAGGCCCAGAGGGTCCAGAGTTATGCAGACACATAGAACAGACACTGAGACTGGTGCAGACTGGTGCAGGGCCAGGGACTGGGGGGTGAGTCTCTAGCCATATCGGTCAAGCACTTGGACCTTGTAGAGAGGCAGCTAGAAGGACGCAGGGCTAGGCACCTTGGACAAGATGAGCTAGGTCAGTTCAGGGGGATTCTGGGGGCAGTCAGAAAGCAGAAACTGGATTGGTGCGATGCTGGTTTGAAGCTACCTGAAAGAGGGGTCTTCCCATCTGGAAGATACTGTTTATGATTGCGATGACATATTAGTACTTTGTAGAAATTACCTCGTTCAATCCTCAAAATTACCTGAAAATTAGCTCCTGTTTACAGACGAGGAGCTAAAATTTTGAAAGTTTTAGCCACTTGCTGAGATGACGGGGTTGGTTAGCTGCAGAGCCCAGATTCCACGTACATAATGCCCCAGAATGTGGAGGCCAAGAGCGTTGACACCCTCCATCCTAGGACCCCAGAAGGTCCTGAGTCTTGGCTGAGCACTTGTGATTGCACCCATCTCTCCTCACATCAAAGATAAGCAAAGGCACACAGACTCTCAGCAAGGGGAGTGGTATGTGGTTCATATGGGTCAAATCCTGTTACTGTTGCAGCAAACAATGCTACATGACTCCCAGTATAGTGACAGAAGTCCCAGGTATCAGCCATCTTATTTTGAACTACGCCATTTGGCAAATAATAAAAGAGTGTTCAATGATTGTGGTAACTGAATTTGGCTTCCCCGCCTTTAGTAGTTTCCAAATAATGCACTTAGTGATTATTATAACAATCAGCCTCCACCAACTATGTGCCAAACGCTTGCTTACAGATATCATTTTTAATCTATAAGAGTCTTGCATGATACATCTTACTAATCACATTCTACATTTAAGAAACAGAGGCTCACACAGCTAGGAAATAATGGAGCAAAGATTTAATTTCAAACGTTTCTGGTACTTGTAGGGGCAAAGGACAGGCTGCTCCAAGGTGGGCCACTTGGGCATGAAGATTATTCTGAGCTGAAGGCAATAGAGACCCTGTGGGCCCAAGAGAAACTTTTGCCCCTCCCTTAACTACATAGAAGAATCTAAATTGGGGGTCTTTCCCAGAATAAGGGTTACTAGCAGAGATGAATTTTATCTGAGTGACCCATCTGCATGGCAGGGCAAACACCTAATTACCAAACATCTGCTCTTCTCTGCATTGCCCTGTGAACTACATTCCTTCCCTCTGAAGTCCCAGGCCCCTGACCCCTTCTCCTTAGTTTGGGATGACATAGATACCTCATTTTGCCTGATGGTCTTTGAAATTTCCACGTCTGTGTGGATTCCCTATATATTGCTATTAAATTTGATTTTTTCCTGTTAATCTGTCTTATGTCAATTTGATTCTTAGTCCAGCTAAAAGGACCTTGAAGGGGACAGGAATTCTTGCTCCCCAAAAAGGGGACAGGACATTCTTGCTCTCTGACATACTGAAGTGGAAGGACTTTTCACCCTACTGCTTCCTAGGTTCCTGAAACCACTCCTTGGAGACACAAAGGCATCAAAGAAACTCCCTGCCAGGGGCGCCTGGGTGGCTCAGTCAGTTAAGCGGCTGCCTTCGGCTCGTGATTCCAGAGTCCTGGGATTGAGCCCCGCATTGGGCTCCCTGCTCAGTGGGGAGTTTGCTTCTCCCTCTGACCCCACCCCACTCTTATGCTCTCTCTCTCGCTTCTTCAAATAAATAAACAAAATGTTAAAAAAAAAAAAAAAAGAAACTCCCTGCTAGACCAAAACAGTGAAATTTGAGGTCATCCCCAATTGGTGGAGTTAGACAGAGGGAGATGCCTTGAAATTTACTTGTTGGTCATCTGAGGCTTGGGTGACATTCAATTGGTGAACTTCAGGTTGATCCAACACAGCCAGGAAGCACCCCAAGAGTTGGGTATGTATATAAGGAGCCATGATGCTTGTAATGTTTCCATGGTGAGCAAAGATGAGATGGAAAATGAAAAGAGATCGGACTGTAACCCAGCCCCAGAGTCTAGGCCCTGCCCCTGTGCATGCATCTGGGAGTTCTTCTAGAGCTTCCCTCACTGCTCACCCCTCCAACCCCCACTGCTCTCAGGTGCCTAGGCTACCAGTGCTATCCTCCAAGGTCCCGGCAAAAACAGGATTCCCAGAGGGACAGTAGATGTCACTGTACCAGGTGGCTGAGACCCTTCCTGGGGTACTGAGTCAGCTCTGCCCACTGGCCATGCTGCTGAGAGACATTTCCCAGAAACTAGCCGGACTTGGGCCTTGATGGGGAGGTAGGATGTGGGGAGAAAAGGACATTCAGAGAAAGCTACCTAGCCCAGGGCCACCAGACCATCTCCAGATCCCCAGGGAAGCCGCTGTTTGGAATATATGATAAACACGGCAGACGTAGAAAGAAGCTCCGGCACTTCTATGCGTCTCTAGGAAAGGGGGTAGTTTGTCATCAGAATTTCCTGTATCTCTCTGTGTATTTTATCCACATTATACAGGGAACAAACTCATCACTCGGCATTTCTTAGCAGGAATATGTCAGAGTGAGAGGAACATAGTCCGAGCCCAGAGTTATTTGAGACCGGGGCTAGAATGTCGTCACCTACTCATGGTGAGTGACTATGCATATGCACACACACACAGAGGAATAAGGTGGAACCCACAGAAGAATTACCACAAGGAGAGGAGTCTCCTGATTTTACCAATAAGAACCCCAGCAAACAAAGTGACCAGCCCCAGAGGGACACCACTAGCAAGCGGTGGTGGCCATGATGGGGACTTACCCATGAACAGGAAGAGGAGACGGGTCCAGAGAAAGGAAGAGGGTATGTGTGGCTTGGTCTTCTGTGGTTTACTGGAGAAGGGCCGTAGAGCCCAGTCACCTGGGTTTTGTGCTGAGCCTGCCATGATGATTTGCTTTTGGATCTCCGGCTGAAAGAGGAAGCACTTACCACAGAAGCGCTTCTCAGGGAGCCTTGTCTGTATCCGGCACCACAGACTCCTCCCACTTGCTCAGGCTGGGGAAGGGGTCCCGAGATCAAGAGTCGCTCGCTCTACCGACTGAGCCAGCCAGGTGCCCCGGTGGTCGCCTCTTCTCAGTGTGGGGTGGGTATTCTGGCTTGCTGCTGCTGAGTAGAATGTGGCGGCAGTGAGAAGCTGTCACTTCTGAGATTAGGTGACAAAAGATTGTGTCTTCCATCTCCGTGTCTCTCTCTCTCCTCCGCCCCCAGCTCCCTTTGCCAGGAGCCAGGTATTGTGTTGTGAGCTAAAGGCTTCGAGACAAGGAGCCAGGGAGACTGCCAGCCCAAACCCAGCAAGGAACTGATGTCTCCGTCAACGGTTGATGAGGACTTGAGGCTGCCGAGAGCCCCCCCGGTGAGACTGGCAGTGCCTGCCCGGTGAGGTGGGCAACCCCGCCCATGCCTTGACGGGCACTTTGTGAGACACCCAGACCCAGAGACACCAGCTACGCTGTGCCTGGACTGCTCATCCGCAGAGACTGCGAGATAATAAATGCTTATTTTAAGCTGCTAAATTCTGTAATTTGTTACATAGCGATGGATTACAAGTAGCATGGTCCAATGAATTCACTGTTCTGCTTAAGCCAGTTTGCACTGGCTTCATGTCACATACAACCAAGAGGCTTTTATTTTTTTTTAATTTTTTTTTAAGATTTTATTTATTTATTTGACAGAGAGAGATACAGTGAGAGGGGGAACACAAGCAGGGGGCAGTGGGAGAGGGAGAAGCAGGCCTCCTGCCGACCAGGGAGCCACATGCGGGGCTCGATCCCAGGATCCTGGGATCATGACCTGAGCCGAAGGCAGACCCTTAACGACTGAGCCACCCAGGTGCCCCTCCAAGAGGCTTTTAACTGGGAGGAAGGAAGCACCGTCAAAGCTGCCTTGGAGGATGGATGTTGCCAGGGGCTGCTGTGCAGTTGGCAGGTTGGGGGACAGCATCATTCCCTTTATCTTGTTGTGGGAAACTGACTTTTTTTTTGAATAGGCTTCATGCCCAATGTGGAGCCCAATGTGGGGCTCTAACTCACAATGCTGAGATCAAGACCTGAACAGAGATCAAGTGTCGCACGCTTAACCGACTGAGCCACCCAGGTGCCCCGGGAACTGACTTTTTTAATAGCTGATGTAGAGTGGCTGGTTAAACCGTAACTTGGTGTCTTGAGATTCAGATTATATGTTTGTTTAGGCTGTAGCAGGAGAGGACTTGGAAAGAAAACCTCAGGAAAGCGGAGTGGGTGGTTTCGGGTGATATTCAGTGAGTGCGTGTCAGGTGCTAGACCCTACCCAACACCTGACACGCACGGGCTCATTTAGTCCACACAACAGCTGTATTTTTATCACCCCTGTGTTATAGATGAGGAAGCCAGGGTACAGAGAGGCTAAGTGGCTTATTTTGAGTTTTATAAATAAGAATTTGAGCCCAGGGCGCCTGGGAGGAAGGAGGGAGAGAGGGAGACAATGAGGATGGCGGGCATCTCCCATCAGAGGGCATCTTCAGAGTCTGGTCACAACCTGGCACCCTTGCAAGCCTGAGAGCGAGGACCTCCTTAAGTTTGGTGTGGAAGGTGCCTCTCCTGCGTCCTGCTAGTCCTGGCCCTGTGGCTCGAGCATGCTGTCTAGACTGAATTGCAGGACACGTGGCCGGGAGCTGCAGGTGGGGCCTCACCAGACACTGACTCTGCTGGTGCCTCGACCCCGTGACTTCCATGCCGCTGTCAGAAATGTCAGAAGTCAAGTTCTGCTATTTATAAGCTGCCCAGTCTCTGGTATTGCTGTTAGGGCAGCGCGAACTCACCAAGACTTCAGACTAGAGGCAAAGAGCATCTAGCGGGTGTTTTTGTTTTTTGTTTTCTTTTTTAATTTAAATTCAGTTAGCCAACGTATAGTACACCATTAGTTTCTGCTGAGTGTTCGATAATTTATCAGTTGCACATAACACACAGAGCTCATCGCATCACGTGCCTCCCCTTAATGCCCATCTCCCATCTAGCGGGTATTTTTAAGCAGGGGTGCAGTGTTATTCAAGGACCCATTTGGAAGCTTATGCCAGCAGCAGAGGGGCGGGCAGGGAAGCGATGGGCCTGTGACGAGGGCGTGAGGAGCCGAGGGAAGAGCACGGGAGCAGCCTGGTGGGCGGGGAAGACAAAGGTGGGAGGCAGTTCGAAGATACCGATGATAATAAAAATCATTGCTCACATTTATTGAGTAATGACTATGAGTGACGCTTCGCGCTTTACGGATGTTTTCTTTTACTCCCCAAGCCAACCTTATTTTGTTGGTACTCTTATTGTCCTCATTTTAAAGAGGAAGAAACTGAAGGTAAATGTCACTGGAATAACCTTGGTAGTGGTGAGCGCAGGTGGACAGTCTTGTGATACATAGAATCCAGTTGAAGTATTCGCATTTAAGTACAGTAAAAAAAAACCTAAAAGAATATGAATTTTGATATAATGCAGTTGGCAAATGGGTCCTGGACTCACCCAGTCTCTGCCTTCACAGAGTGAGGGCTAATATTCTCATTGAGCTGTGGATGAAAAGGCAACTCGTGCTGGGAATCAGGGAGGAGGCAAATTGAGTTTGGCATTTCCAGTTTCACCATGTCCTTGGTCCAGGTCAGCAAATGTGAGCAAAGGACTAGAAAATTTCTGGAATTCCTTCTGCTGTCCTGGGAGTCCAGCCAGGCCCAGGCCCAGGCACCAGAATCACCCATCTACTGGGCATCGCCCCCAGGTAGCATCAAATCCCAGCCTGGGCTTCGATTTGGATCCTGCAGCTACTGTCCCAAGTTCCGCTGCATAGATTCACCACCAGCCCCTAACCAGCCCTTCATTAACTTTGCAATGAAGATGACCCTGCATTTTACACAACTGTATTTTTTTGACTTCACTTTTAATATTATGTGGGGGTTTTAACATGTTTATACTCCTGCAGATTGGAAGAATATGAAAAGAATACAGAATTTCGACAAGTTTAAAGCTTTTTACACCTAAGTGGAAAGATAGTTAAATATCTTAAGAGCTAAAAGAAATGCAACATCAAATCAAGTGCTATAGTTACAGTAAAGCAAAGAAAGAATTCGGTGATATCACAGTGCGGCAAGTTGAATTGAGGGACACAGGCTATGAGACCAGCTTTCTTTCTTTTTTTTTTAGATTTATTTACTTTGAGCACTTGCACACACACGCACACACTTGAGCAAGTGGGGGGGAGGGGCAGAGGGAGAGAATCTTCAAGCAGGCTCTCTGCTGAGCGCAGAGACCAACGGAGCTCCATCCCACAGCCATGAGATCATGACCTGAGCTGAAACGAAGAGTTGGACACTTAACGGACTGAGCCACCCAGGCACCTGAGACCAGCCTTTCAGAGGACGTCAACAAAGCAGGTAAAGGGACCTGGGTAGGTACCAACAGTTGATGTCTCAGTGATGTTTCTGGTCGTTAAGCAACCTTAATTGATGGAGCAGATGGCCCAGAAAATAGCTGGAGTAGAGATGACATAAATGTGTCCTTTATGAATCTTTCAGTCGTGGAAAGATAAGGAATTCAGAGTAGGCATGTTCAAGGTATCAGTTAGTACTTTTTGTTTACATATATGTATTATTCGAGACATCTAGCTTATTAAAGTAATCGTTTGTGGTTCCGACTTGAACTATGTATTTGAATAATTGATTTGCATTTGTGATTTTATTTTATTTTAATTAATAAATTTTTACTGAAGTACAGTTGGCACACAATGTTACATGAGTTTCGGGCGTACAACATCATGATTGGACACGTCTATACGTTATGCTCACCATACATGCGGCCACCTGTCACCACACAGCACTATTACAGTTGAATCTCAAGTCTATATGAAGTATTTGAAGACAACTTAAGAATTACCCTACATATAAGCTTAGTGTACTAGATTTACAGGCCTTCTTTAAATATTTGGGGAATCTTATTTATTGATTCAAATACTTTATCCAAGGTGAGTGGGGGGGGTGGGGGAAACAGGTGATGGGGATGAAGCTGTGCACCTGTTGTGATGAGCACCGGGTGATGCATGAAGTGCTGAATGACAATACTGTGCACCTGAAACTAACATAATCCTGTATGCTAACTCTCCTGGAATAAAAATAATAGTACTAAAAATATATTTATATCTTAAAAAAAGAAAAACAAGCAGAAGAGCTATATCATAAAATCTGTTTTCAACTCTGAAAAAAAAAAGAAAGTAAAAGGAACCTAAATGTATTGCATTCAATAGTGAGATTTAAAGGCCTTAAAGAAATCAATTCATAAATTTGTAAAGTGAGTCAAATATTACCAATAGCCACCCAAAAGGAGGTTAAGGGCTGCCAGATTTATAAATGGAATATGATTTATAAGCTGAACTGCCCTTAAGGCTGGCCAAGGTTTTTAATTTGTGGGGTTTTTTTTGTAAATTGAATATGAATTCTTTTTTAAATAAAGATCGCATTTATTTATTTGACAGAGAGAGACACAGTGAGAGAGGGAACACAAGCAGGGGGAGTGGAAGAGGGGGAAGCAGGCTTCCCGTGGAGCAGGGAGCCCGACGCGGGGCTCGATCCCAGGCCCCTGGGATCATGACCTGAGCCGAAGGCAGACGCTTAAGGACTGAGCCACCCAGGTGCCCGAATATGAATTCTTAAAGGCTAGGGATAATTTTTTTATGCACAAAAACCATCTTCAAGGAAATAAATAATAATGGGGAAGTCTTATTGCCTGGGAAGTAGTTTGCTGAGATCATAAGTAAGCAGCGGAGGCATGATTCAAGTCAGAAAGCTTCATATCCACCCCACTGTACCGGGCCCTGAGGCTAAACCATCCTGCGCAGGTTACTTTGCTTTTCCATCAACGTGGTTTTCTTTCCTACTAGCCTGTGAGCAACATGGTTGCAGAGACTTCCTTTCACCTCTGCATGCCCAGGCCCCGGGCTTGTAGGTATGGTGAGTAGATGAGCGAGGAGAACTCAGTGAGAGTATTATCCAAAAGTCCAGGAGAGGAGAGAATTTCAAACAGGGAGGCTCCCAGGGTCAAATTTAACTGGTGGTCCTATAAGATAA